CACCGCCCGCCTGACGCATGCACTGCGTCATGATGCTGCTGCTCGCCAGCGAGTCCGGTGCGTTGAGTTTCTTTAGCAGACATCGGCGCAGCTGCAGCAACCACATCTCAATACGTTCACCCAGATACTTCTGGTAGAGATGTCCGGGCAGCAGCACCTCCTGCATCATAGCCGAGTCGACGTTCTCCACCTTGTACTTGCCCTGTGCGCACTGAAATAGCTTTTGCACCATGAACACAATCAGCTGGAATTTCTCCTCGTTCGTCGCCAGATGGACCATAATGCGCTCGCGCATTATATACTCGGTGACGGCCTCATCCGGCAGCCAGTCGGGCACTTCAGGGAAACGCGAACGGAAGAGAGTGCCAATAAAGGAGCGACACTGGGCGGATGTATAGACGCCCTCGTTCTGCACATCACGCAGCATGCTCTGCACACAGGTCAAATAGTATTGATCCGATTCGTAGCCCTGCACCAGACAATTGTAGATCTGCTCGTCCGTGTAGTCCATCAGGCACTTCAGTATTAGGCAGACGGGCACATAGGACAGGCGCTTGACATGGGAGAACATAAAGCGTGCGGTGCCATTGTTGAGATAGTGCAGCACATTGGTCAGGGACAGCTCATCGTCTCGCACAGTTTGCACCATGACGCCCAGTTCGCTGAAATTGTGACCGCGATCCTTCCACGAGGAGCGCTTCACGCAGATCGGATGATTGCGACGCGTCATGATGAGCATGCGCACGATCTTCTCGTTGCCGCGTATAACAAAGATGCCGCCCCACTCGCTGTCATGCTCGCCATGCTTAACCATGTCCTGGGGCGTGGCCTTGCCCAGATTGCAAGCGCGTGAACGCAGCATGACCGGCACTTCACCCAGATCCATATTGATTGGGGTCTTTTCCAGATCGTTGACACTCCAGCCTAGACGCACGGAGCACACACCCGAGTAGGAAGCGTGCAATTGGCGTGCATCTGTTGGATATATCTCACGGGTGCGCACGTCAATCACGTCCATCGGCACCTGCGGCTTGGTTATCCAAATGCTCTCAATATTTATGCTAATGCGCTCGCCGGCGGGTGTTTGGAATTGCTGCGGCACCATATATCTGGCCACATGCTCCAGGCCCACGCTGAGCATTTCATCAAAAGAGTCCACATGTGGTGCACCCAAATTGGCCAGATGCTGCAAGTATTACATTAAAGTCTATACTTGGCGGCAGGCAACACTTTACCTTATTCAATTTTTCGGGTATTTGCTTAAACTCGGGCCGTGAATTCGTCAGCACGGGATACTCTTTCATGTTGTCCATAATTCAAGAATTCCAGCAAGTAAAAACGTAAACAAAGTTAAACGGTTCTTCGAGTTGCACGTGCTGTTAAACTTATCGATAAGTATCCGATACTTATCAGCGGCGCTGCCAACCTGTTGCAGGCAAAGCATATTGAATCTGAGAAGGTGGCTTGTCGGCAGTTTTGTGACGTCACGCTGCACACGTTCCGATAGGAAACAATATGAACGGCCAATTGGAATTTAATGACGTAATGCAAATTGCGCACTCGAGCGTAATCTTCCATTTGCGTTAATTCTCGCGCAGCTGACGCACAGTTTCGCGCCAAAATTAGTGTTTCTTTTTAAATGTGCCGTGTTGTTTAGAAATGTGTTGCAGGTGCGAAAGTTTAGATAATGCTGGTGTGCAATCGTGTGTAATGGCTGCAAGGATACATAAGCACGTAAGTCCTGTAACAATTTGTATGTATAAACGGAAATGAAACCTAAGTCGGAAGTGTCAACGTGTTGCTGCTAAATGAAGTTGCCTGCTTGTCCTGCTATATCCTTGTTGTTGTTGTTGTTGTTGTTGCAGCCGCATTATATATGCACAAGTTTGTTGCATTAGTTATGTATGCGAGTTGGCTGCTTACAAATGTGCAGCTCCTGAGCTTGCCTCTTGACAGAGCAGCCCATTGCGGATTAAGCTGCTTGCATGAGTGAGTGGAAGAGGGACAGGGGGGGAAGGGAGCTGGCAGTATTTTGGTCAAAGTTACGCTAATTAAGCACAGGGACCCTGTTGCAGCCTGCCTGCCATATGAGCTGTTCGGCATAATGAAGATGCAAAAAGTTTCATTAGTTATTATTAACTTCAGTCAAAGAATAACTGCTGAAACTTGAGAAAACACAAGAAGCCAAGCGACAACAGCAGCAACAACAACAACAACAATAGTAACAAAAGCAGCTGCAGCACAGGCGCTTCGGTTTATTATGCTATTATAATGAACACAATGCACATTTTCTGAAGCGCTCTATCTCGCTCACACCATCTCCCGCTATATCCCCTCTCTAGCTCTCTTACTTCCACTCGTGCTGCTGCCCATTTGGCTGGCGCACAATCTCAGACGAGCGGGCGGCATGAGAGAGAGAGGGGCGGGGGGGCATGGCTGGTTAGCAAGTTTTGGCAAACGCGCTTCAAGTTTTAGTCGCTTACATTTTATTTTCCATTCTGTTTTGGCCGGGCTAACAAAGAGGCAACATGGCAAATTGCATTGTTGATTTTCATTTTCAAGCCTGAGCTGCTCGCCCAGCTCTCAATGTCTCTTCGAGTGTGTCGCCTACCCACGCTTCTTTCCTTTCCTGCAGGGCGACACTTAGCAGCAGCAGCAGCAGGAAACCCTTCCAAATGTGTCTGTGTGTGCGTGTGTGTGTGTGTGTGTGTGTGTGTGTGTGTGTGTCCTTGCTCCAACCCAGCCCCGCCTTGCCTTGCCTCCACGTTCTGCTCATTCAAAGTCATTGCTGCGTGTTTCCCACTTTTTCAAATGCCGTCGACAATGGCCAAGTTAGCCGAAAAACAAAAAAAAATAGCATAGAAAATAAAATTGGCGTTGCCAGTGGAAAAATCTGTTGCAAAATGCATTTTCATTTGAAACTTTTGCCAAAAACTTTTTCGGTGGGAGTGCATCTAAAAAAACAAAAAAACAAAGAACAATGCAAACACAAATGTTGCGCCATATAAAAATATACTAGATATTCTGCTGCTCTGATTTAAACACTTGCATTTGTTTGCTTTCTTAATAAGTTAGATGTTAGGTTTGCCTGAAAATCCCATTGCGGAAAGTTATGACCCCCATTTCATAATGATAGCTCATAAGCACAGTTGTTGGAGAGGATATTGGCCAGGGGTATTGAGTATAAACTTGGCATGAAATGTGATGTTTTTTTTATACCCTGAACCCATTAAAAATGGGTATAAGGGTATATTGTATTTGTGAAAAATGCAAATATATGGAACAGGCAGAAGGAAGCATCTCCGACCCCATAAAGTATATATATTCTCCATCAGCACCAATAGCCGAGTCCGTCTGTCTGTCTGTCTGCCTGTCTGTCTGTCTGTCTGTCTGTCTGTCTGTCTGTCTGTTTGTCTGTCTGTCTGTCTGTCTGTCCGTCTGTGCGTATGTATGAACGCAAGGATCTCAGAACCTATAAGAGCTAGAGACTTGAAATTCTAGATGTAGGTGCTCCTAGTGCCAGATCGAGTTTGTTTCCGATAATCGATAACTTAGTCCGTTTCCAAGCAATAGATAAAAATCGATATCGATATCCTGTTTTTGGGCAATTTTGGTAAATAATAAGAGCTAGAGTCCCCAAACTTGACATATAGCTTCTAAAATAGAATTTGTATATGCATTTGATGTGGAAAGAAGAGGGTATTCCCTAGTCGTGAGCTCCCGACTAGAACCTCTTACTTTTTTTGTTTTTGCTGCAGTCAGCACATATATCGTAGTTGGTCTGATCGGACTACTATATCATATATTATTTGTCAATTTTCTCGCATTAAAACATGTTTATTTATAAATATATTGCGACATAACTTTAATACATTAAAACATCTAGGAGCGACTTATGAAAAAGATTTTATTTTAAAATACCCTATCATATTCTAAAGTACCTATGGGGTATCAAATACCCTCTCATATATATTTGTATGTGATTCCATGCCTTTAAAAATAAGCTCCTTGCACATTAGTTTAAGTTCCAATCATATTGAATTGCCTTTTAGTGTGTTTTTCTTGAAATCCAAGTGGCTCGTAATACGATTTAATATGAAAATATTAAAAAAAAATGCACTTTAAAATTAAATATGATCATATTTATTTTGCACTTTTTTTACTCCCTATAGGGAAGTATGCTCCAATATGCATTACAATACCATTTACCTTCACGGTTATTATTTGTGATATTATTATTATTTGATCGATATTCCCGCAGGGTATTCAAACTTGCAATAAACCGAAAGATAACTTGTTCTCCCATATTTATGCAAGTTTTGTGCAGATCTTTCAGTGTCAAGGTAATGAATGCTTCGCTACTTATTTTGTTTTGATCAAAAGTGGCAACAGTTTTTCTTTGCCGTCTGTTAGTCATAATCTGGCTTGACGTGTCGCAGCTAAATTTAAAACTTAATCATATGATAGATTTTAATTAAAATGCATTCGAAAGTATATAAATTAAGGAATTCGGGGAAAATCCTGTCTGATCGCGCACGAGTGCCAGACTCTGCCAGCATATTTTCTATGCAACAAAAGCATTTCGGGAGAGCACCTAGAGAACAAGAGAGCAAGTTGTTAATATTTTTAAAAATAGCCAGCCATTAGATGATTTTTCTCAGTTTTTCACGAGCTGGCCAAGCGCACAGTGCCTCGCAACGGATAGAAAATCGAAAATTTTCCATACGAATACATACAACAACATATGTATACTAGAGAATTACTTTACGCTTCTATATAGTATATATACATATATATATTTATTATTTTTATAAAGTTTTTGCCGAACAAAGAAGTTTACGCATATATATTTCGGTAAATATATAGAGCCAAACGACTTCTATAACTTCTAAGAACATTTATTTTTCTGGTTTGCCTTTAAAAGTGAAAGTCAATAAAAAATTGCGAAATCGCGCGTGCAATAGAACTATATATATATGTATATATCTATATATATATATATATAGGGACGGATGTGTGTGTGCCAAGTTTTTGTGTTGGTTTTTTGTTCAACTTGAAACGGTTCAACAGTTCTTTGTGCTCTGAGGCTGTGCCTCTAGAAGAAAAGCAGAAAATCAGAAAATCAGAAAAGCTGAAAAGTCGCATTAACGTAAATTTTCAACGAGTGCCACAAAAAGTAAACAGACGCAATAGCTGGCAACAATAACAAGAAAAACAACAACAACCACAACTGCGATTGCAATAAATTCGAGTGCATTTGGCACATACCAGAAACAGGGCAGACAACCGATCGTTTCTTTGTTCTTGGCCTGCTGCGCGGAATATAGCACTGCAAAAGAATGGGCAATGCCGAGTCAACGCAGCCCGAAGCACATGATTCAGATCCGTCCACGGCGAGCGTGGGCGCAACGTTGCCAGCCCCGCCCGATGAGCCCTGGTGGCAGCAAATCGAGCACGAGAATTTAATACTCCAGCAGCTGCCTGTCGAGCTTCCAGCTAATGTGGAGCTGCAGCCGGAGCAAACCATAGCCAACATGGAGACCAAGCCGGAAACAGCCGGTGCAGAGCGCGAGCCCACGCTAGAGGAGTTCCGGGAGCAGCTGGCCAGCAAGCGGTTGGCGCGTCAAACGGCTGTGCAGGATATGCGCGAAGAGCTGGCCAACTTGCGCCAGCAACTGGCCAAGGAGCAGGCGGAAAATCAACGTCTGCGCAGGCAAACACAAGGCGAGACGGCAGCGCCAGCGGAAGAGCAGCTGGAGGAGCAACTGGATCCCGATGATGAGAATCCCAGCAGTCGCAGTCGTCATGCCAACATTGAGCTGGCCAATGCCCAGCTGGCACTGCAATTGGCCAATGCGGATAATCTGTCGCTGCGCAGCGAGTTGGATGTGGTGCAGCGTCAGGTGGGCACCCTCAAGGAGGTCATCTGCTGCTGCAAGCAGATGCTCAGCGTCAAGGAGGAGCAGTGTGCACAGGTTCGAGCAGCTAACCAAATAGCTTCCCAGGCAGCTTCCGTTTAATCGAAGGTTTTGGTTTTTCTTGCCCAGCTCAAGATGAAATTGCAGGAGATTGAGAACTCGTTCAGTGAGCGCGAAATGAAGATCATGTCCAATAATCTGCGCCAGGAATACGAACGTCAGCTGGTCAATATACGACAGCTGCGGCAATTGTACGAGGAGCGACAACGCGTTGCCGCCGCGGAATATGAGAATTTGCAGCGTCTCATCTCGATTAAAAAGGATGAGCTCATCGCGGAGCAGGAGAAGTAAGTGTGCCAGCCTCGAGCCTTGCCGTGCGCCACTTTCAATTTCCCTTTTCGCAGAACAAAAAGCTTCGAGGAGCGCAATCAAGAGCTGCTCAAGGAGCTGGAAACAGCCAACCAGCAGCTGGCCAAGTTGCGCGACGAGTGTGCCGAACACAAGTTCGAGAAGCGGGCGCTCAAGGACCAAGTGGGCGCAGTCAATTTGGTAGGCGCAACAAAAAAAAAACTGCTAACAATTTAAAGTGTTTTTCGTTCGGTGTCATCCACGCAAAAACCTGAAGGATTCGGCTGAATATATAAAACAAAATTATACTTGATTCCCCATCTTAGCTGTGAACTCCAGGCGAAATAAGATAGGATGGAATCTTTTTGGCTTAAGGATTTTTTTTTTTTTGCATAGAACGCTTGCCAAAGGAGACTAATTTATTTTTATTGGAAAATAAGAAAGCGATATATTTTCTAGGCTCAGCACTTCCAAAGGAACTTCGAAATTCCATAGAAAAACTTTCTCACTGTCGATAAGCTAATCATGAAACCAGACAATAAGTTTTAATACTTACTACCGCGAATGTATCTGCCTGGCAAAATGAAATAAGTTTCTCTTAACGGTAGATAGAAACACGATATGGAATAGAACGAAATAGGATAGGATAGGATCTCTTTGGCTAAAGGATGTTTTGCCCAGCTAAAGGATTTTTTGCCAAAGGAACTCAACTTATTTCTGTTGCAAAATAATAATAATATATATTGTCTAGGAAAAGGACTTGCCTTAAAGGAACTAAAGAACTAAAGAACCTTTGGCATGGAATAAACATGAAATGATTTAACCCAATGGAAAATAGGAATGCGAAATTAAAGGCGTCGCTTTGAGTTTTTAAATTTGTCTGCCATTTAGGCAAAGATCTTTCGCTCAATTGACGATAAGAAAGCGATAGAAAAGCGATATCTTGAATAGCTTGGAACACATATTGTACGGAATTTTAAACGGAATAGGATAAAAAGGCGATAGAAGAGCGATAGGAAACGGAATCTTAATAAGCACATACTTATTCCTTTTTTTATTTTTTCGATAGCTCTTTAGCCAGCTGGTAATGGGTTTCAATGGCAAGAATAATTTGGATATTGATCGCCTGACACAAATGCTAGAGGAGAATCGCGACCTGTTGAACGAAATGACCCAGGCGGAGGGCAGCTGCAGCGATGGCGCCACGCTGCCCAAGCTCCTATTCGAGCTGGTCGAGCAGGCGGCCAAATCGGGCGACGACGAGCATCAGAGTGACAAGAGTCGCAGCGCAACGCCCACGCCCACGCCAAGCCCAGAGCAAGGAGCAGGCAGTGAGGTCAGGGCCGTGGGCGAAGACATCACTGACTCGGTGAGGCTGGAGACCGGCGGCAGCAGGAAGCATCGCAGGCGCAGTGGAGGAGTTGGTGGTGCAAGCGCTGCGGCTACGTTAAAAAGCCATGAGCCCGAAATTATGGGAAAAGTTGCTACGGCCCAAGAAATCATTGGCAACTTGCCAAAAGTTTGGAAAGTGTTGATGGAGCTCTTGAGTCACCACAAAATCGAGCGCGTGCAGTTTGAAGAGCAGCCAGCACCAGCCACCGAGGATGCCCACAAGACTGCGGGCACAACAACAACAACAACAACAGCGACAACAACAACAACAACAGGAGCAACAACAGGAACGGGAACGGGAACGGGCAAAGCGCCGGAGCTGAGCGTCAGCAAGACCTACATCAAGCTGAAGGTGAGTGCCGCCTGGCATCGAGGCAAGCGTCGGGTGTCGAGCTGCTGCTCAAGTGCTGCGGACAATCGGGCTTGTTAGCTGTCGCATCCGGTTTGCTGATGAAGTGCAGCAACGTCCCCAGCCAGCCAGCCCATGTCCGAGTCCTTGTCTGTCCTGGCTGCTGCTGGTCCTGGTGCTGTTGCAAAGTTTTGCATTATTCACTTAAGCGCTTTATTTAGTAAAGTGCAGGCCAAGCAGGCGTAGCTTCATTATTGCTGACGTCCGGGCAGGGACTAGCTTGGGTTTTTCGAGAGTCAGCAAAGTGGGCTGTGCCAGTTGTTGTGCACATAATTGAATTTATCGGTTGAGCACAAAACATGTTGCATACTTTTTCGGCAGGCGGGAATAGACGGGATTAGCAAAGCCAGTGAGCAACAATTTCGGCACTCCATTCCGGAAGACCAGTGAGTGTCCATCAACATGAAGCTTCAAGCTACAATACACCCCTTTTGAAGTTCACGTCATCTATTACCTGATATTGATGGGCAGGACAAAAAGTATATTTTGGGACTAGTCGGAACAAAGACCTGGGGCTGTGATAGATGCTGCTCAATAGGAAGCTTATATTGATAGGCTTACCAGCTCTGGCGAGTAGAAAGTTGGAAATAAACTGAAAACTGCATTTGAAGCTTGCAAAAGTTTCAAAGTGTAACTAAATTAACATGTGAACTAGATTCACAGTCGGTTCTAAGCTTTGATTGAAAATCAAATGGAGATGAATAGTTAGATGTTATTTAGAATTGAAATCAATTAAAAAACTACAATAGAAGAGTCTACCGAGGCAAGGCCAGATTGAATCCTTAGTGCACCTAAGGGATTCCTTAGGCTTTAGACTTGAGACTATGCAATGTTGATTAGGCTCTACGAATTTTGTCTTCCAGCAGGCTATTAAATTCCTAGATATCTTATAGCCTAAGAGAACCCTAAACCCCTGGACCGAATGCAGGTAAAAAGACTTTAAGTTGTTGACCAGTTGGGATTAATCCAAACTATGGAATGTTGATTAGGCGCTATGAAGGTTGTCTTCTAGCAGTCCATTAATCTCAGAATTCCTAGATAACTTATAGCCTAAGGGAACCCTAAGGCTCTAGACCGTAAGATAAAGGGAAACTAAGTCATTGACTAGTTGGAATTAATCCAAACTGTGGAATGTTGATTAGGCTTCATGAAGTTTGCCTGCCAGCAACCCATTAATCTCAAAATTCCTAGATGAATTATAGCCCTAAGACTCTAGACCAAAAGACCAGTTGAATTCAATCCGAACTGTGGCATGTTTGTTTGGCGCTACGAGGGTTGTCTTCCGGCAGTCTCTAGTTCCTAGATATCTTATGCTACGCTTCCGCCAGTTCCACAGCACTTGACGCCGTGTTAGAAGCCACAAACTTAAGCTAAATTTTCTGCTCGACTCGAAATTAGGATCTGATTATGGAAAAGAAATCGCTGGTTAAGGAAACGAATCGCCTGAAGACCCTCAACTGTCACTTGGACTACAGACTCAACGAGCAGGAGAAGCGTTTAAGTGCGGTCAGCTTGGAGCTGACGAAAACTTGGCATCTGGTGGGCAAAATGCAGCGTCAGCATCGCCAGCTGCATACACAGGAGCAGATATTGCGTTACCAGCTGCAGCAGAAGCGCCGCCTGCTCAGCGAGCTCAAGGACGAGCTGGAATATTGTCGACGCAAATGGGCGGCAGCCCGGGCCAAGAACGACGAGAGCCAGGAACAGTGTAACGATTGGCGGCGCGAATTTGCGCGACGCAAACTCGAGGATGCCAATCACTCCGCGGAAAGTGGTTACAGCGACTCCGGGCCACAGTCGGACGAGGATGCAGCAGTGGGAGGAGAAGCGGCTGCCGCAGGCGTTGATGAGGCGGAGGCGGCACCACGTCGCAAACACTTGAGGGATCAGTTCAAGCACACGCGCAAAATAAAGCGCATGCAAAGCACATCGCCGGGTCGCCAGGCCGCGGCGGCGGCAGCAGCAGAAGCCGAGCCGGAGCAGGATGAGGAGATTATTTTGCGTTGGAATAGCGCGCCGCCCACTTGCGGCTGGCGCGAGGGCAGCGAGTACGAGGCGGAAGAGGAGGAGAACGACCTGGTTGTGGCTGGAACATCACGCGGCGCCGTGGCCAAAACTATGCACAGTTCACGCAGCAGACAGCGCGGCAAATTGGAGCCCGCCGTCAGCTCGATGTCGCCCTCGTCGACAACCACAGACGCGGACACGGGCACGGCCAGTCGCATACAGAAACTGGAGCAACAATGCCAGTCGCTAATACAGCAGGTGCTGGAGACCAGTGGCAATCGGGAGCGCCTTGAGGTGCAGCTGTGTCGCTTTCAGGATGAGATTGCGCCCGTGCAGCATGCGGTGCCGCTCGATGAGTTCATCAATCGTAAGCGCCTGGAGCGCTTGACGCGCGCCAGCTCCGCTCCAGCCACCGGTGGGAGTCTGACGCCTCGCGAGGAGGAGTACACGCGCAAGCGCTCCGAGCGCCTGGGCCGGCTCGAGGAGGAGTCGCGGCAGCTGCTGTCGCGCATCAAACGCACCACGGATCGTGGACACTATCTGAAGAAGTCGCTGGATCGGATTAGACGTGCGCCCAGTCGCGAGGCGAGCTTCGAGAGCAACACCGAGGAGGAGCCCAAGGAGGAGACAGTTAGCACAGTCCTAACCGCCGAAGAGGAAGCCTATACGACGCGTCGTGCCGCCCGTCTGCAGCGTCTGGAGCAGGAGAGCCAGCAGTTGTTGACACAGCTCGCGCGGAACACGGAGCGCGGCGAGGGTCTGGCCAACAAGCTGGACACGCTGCACGAACGTCACGATGGTCAGGATCGAGTTCCTATCGAGGAAACCGCGGCCAGCATCTCGCAGACCGTGGAGCAGCGCTTGGAGGACATTGAGCGCGTGTCTGCGAATCGAGCGGAGCGGCTGCGTCGCCTGGAACTGGAGGGAGATGAGCTTATAGCCCGGCTGAGTCACACATCCGAGCGCGGCACCGCGATGATCAATCGCATCGCGAAGCGTGAGGCGAGCCGACGACAGGAGGCGGAGCTGCTGGAGCAAACGCTGCCCGTCGAGGAGCAGCCAACCAGTAGCTTGGACCATGCCCCCATAGTGAGCACCGTGCAGGAACTCAGTGAAGCCGCCTGCTGTGTGACGGTCACGACCATCGCCAGCCAGTTGGCCATGCAGCAGCAATCCACAGGCGCCATACCGAAGAACCACAGCAGGAGCCAACCCCAAGCGCAGCTGTGCGCGGCGAAACGCCATGAAGATGCCCACAAGAAGCGTTGTAAGGAGACGACGGAGCCGGAGCAGGTCAAGGATGTGCCAGCTACCCAGGCGGAGACACTGGAGGACTTGGTGCAACGTCTGCGAGCATTGCCCTATGCCGCAGACGTTGAAAGCGAAAGGGAGCAGCCCGAAAGTGGAGAGCAGGATCAGCCGCAGGAGGAGCCGAAGAAGGCGTCGGAGGAAGAGCCGCAGGAGTCGGAGGAGAAACCGCAGGAAGGGCCGCAGCAGGAGTCGAAGGAGGAGCCGCAGGAAGAGCCGCAGGAGCAGCCACAGTAGGAGGAAGGCAAATGATAACTTTCAAGACTTTCTATCAGGATTCCAGAGAAGTTTGTATTTGGTAATTATAAACAAAAATCAGTGGGAATATGTAAAACTGGAGTCCATTATACCTAATCCAATGCATGCTTTAAGGATACACCATACATTTAATTATAAACTACGAATACTCGCTGACTTACTGCTCAGCCCGATTCCTATAACTATATATGTCATGCATAGGTATATCATGCATATGTATGTCATGCACATGTATGCCATGCACATCTATGTCATGCATATGCATTTCATGCATATGTATGTCATGTATATGTATGTCATGCACATCTATGTCATGCATATGTATTTCATGCATATGTATGTCATGTATATGTATGTCATGCACATGTATAATATGAATGTCATGCATATGAGTGTCATGCATATGGGTGTCATGCATATGAGTGTCATGCATATGTATGTCATGCATATGTATGTCATGCACTGTATGTCATGTATATGTATGTCATGCAACTGTATGTCATGTATATGTATGTCATGCATATGTATGTTATCTATATGTATGTCATCTATATGTTTGTCATGCATATGTTTATCATGCACATGTATGTCATGCATATGTATGTCATGTATATATATGTCATGCACATGTATATCATATGAATATCATGCATATGATTGTCATGCATATGAGTGTCATGCATATGAGTGTCATGCATATGAGTGCCATGCATATGAATGTCAATTGTGAGCTTTGGGCCTTTCGATTAAAAACACAAAATAAATAAATGTTTATTATAAAAATGGGGAAACGCATTTTACTATTTATTTATATAATCTTCTGCTTATGCTCGTAGGTGCGAACCCTAAACTTTGTACTTTGGGATTGACAAATCAAAAAAAATATGAACAGAAAGAGTTGTATTTTTATAATTAATAATAATTTAGTTTTATTATTATAGTTTCTTGTTCTTTTCCTAATTTGTTATGCTGATTGAGTGGAAAAGTGCTCTCTACTATTAATAAGGATATCGGTTCCAAACTAGACGTTGATTTTATTCTCAAGCTCATCTGAAAACGTGCGGAATGTGGGACAAGAATTCAACTTATTACATTCACGCACGCATGACAAGAATTTTCCATGGATTTACTGTGCAGTTGTCTGCCCACTTAGACACACGACGCCACTGTCATGTGTGAGAGGGTGAGGGGGGCTGTCGCATTATCGTCACTGCATATGCAAGTAAAAACTGCTGCCGTCCGCTAACTAGTTAGCGCAGTCTTCTGCTGCTGCTTCTTTATGCAAATTCCACCCCTTCAAATATAATGCAAATTGTGTGTGTGTGTGGGGGGAGGGATAGTTTGCTTCCAGTCAGGCATAAAGAAAACACAGCTTCATATGCTTTTAAAGGCGAACAGACTTTTTACATTAACTTATCCGGCGTTCTTCTTAACATGCGCTGTCAACAGTGAACAATTCTGCCCAACCCCTCTCTGCTGCGCCCCTCCTCCAACACAAATATCAGTCGCTGTTAGCGACACACAACAGCAGTGTTAGTGATGCCCAGCAGCACTGTTAGTGTGTTCATTTAGCTGCAGCGCTGTTAAGTTTGCCCCTGTTTTTGAAATGAACACTTCCAGTGGCAGCACGCAACTGGCTTGAAGTGGACATGTTGCGTGCCTTAACAGCGCGGGCGGCCAGGACTTGCAACAGGTTCCATTGCATACTTTACAGCGTATAAGAGTGAAGGCAGCGCCATCTGTCGACAATCGGCAGCACAGCCGCGCGCATTGCTGAGCTTTTAGCGCAAAGCTTTTACCCAATTTCGATATCTTACGCGTTGTTGTTTTTCTTTTTGTCAGTCTTCTGCTGGCCGTTAACGAGGCGGCCCGCGTAATTAGATGAAGCCCGAGTGCATTTTAAATTGAGCTGCGGCCATCAGGCAACGGTTTATGTTAAACGCACAGCGCCCGTCGTCTAATTGCTGTGGGAGTTGCGACACGCCCCCCAATGGCCGATTGGCCGCTGCTGCTGAAAATGTATACAAATTGTTGCTGGCGCGGGCGGGCGCAGTGCAACGGGGGCAGCGACTGCAACTGGAAACGTCAAATTAATAAACAGCCGGACGTACCACAAGCTGTGAAAAAGTAATCTTTTGGTCTGCGCGTCATTTCCAGTCCAGCTTGGAAATGCGCCAGCGGCCGCTAGAGATGGGCACGTGACACGTATTATAAAAAAGCACGAAAATAATAAACGGCACGCAAGACTTTTAGTCAGGGTATATTGATGCAAAATGATTTGGGCAAATAATATATAAGTTATCATTTTATTATCATTATATATATTAAAATATATATAGTTTATTTAATTTGGGGTAGTCGATCCACAAAAAATAATTAATTGAATTAAATATTGCTGCTGGATTTGAAACGGCGAAAGTTGCCTTCAGTTGTTACGTTCGCCAGACACGAACACGTCGTGTTGCCTCGTGTCACGGGGCGACACGTCCAACTCTAGGCCCGAACCAGGCAAGATTTATGCAGTTCGTGCGAAGGAAGCGCCGCTGTCGCCGCTGCCGCCTCCGTTATGCGCAGCAAAGTAATCTAATTTATTAAAAGTGCAGCCTCTGGGGCAGCTAGGGGTATGCCGACTGTGGAGCGCAGCTCGTTTTGGTTTTGATTTACGCTGAAATAAATTAAAATATCATAAAAAGGAAATTAAAATTCACTCACACAACAAAAGCGAAGAAGCGAAGAAGTTTTCGGGCTCCACTTGGAGAACTCTCAGCCTCCGTCCGTCCGTCTGTCTCAGTCTCAGTCTTAGTCCCAGTCTCCGTCTCAGTCCGCATCTCACTGCGGGCTTTTAACTAATTTTTAAACAAGTAAAAATACAAATAAATATTTTAATGTGTGATTTACGACAATGAGACGCACAGGGGGTCGCTCTCAGCTCCGTTCGTCTCGGCTCGGTTCGACTTGGATCTGGATCTGGTCGATCCGCGTCTTCGGCTGCATTTAAATTGGATTTGTGCGCTTCTGGCGCAACGGCCTGCCACGCCTGCTGCCCACAATGAAATACAATTTAAGCGCCTTTAATGAACTGCGCGCATTCCGCTAACAAACAAAAAAACAGCCAATACACATGAAAAAAATTTAAAAGTTTTCAATGAAATTTGAAATTATTTGAATGCCGCACTTAGAATTTATTGGCGCATAAAAGCCGCTTAAAGTTTACGAGCGCAGCGTATTTTTATTAATTGACTGTAATTAATTGGAGATTTATGTGGAACGTTTCAAGATCTCGATATATTCGGAATCATAAAATGCACATAAACGAATCTGATTTAATGAATAAAAAAAAAAGTCGAAAAGCTTTAGTCGAAAAAGCGTCTGTTTTAGTATATTGGTGTATTTTATTTAATTACAAACTTATTTATTTATATGGGTAAAATCGGGGAAGTTATAAAAAGCTGCAAAACATTTGACTTTCGAAAAATTGCAAATCTGCTTATTTCAGATTTCACTTAGCTAAGCCATGTTAAGTGTGTAAAATATAATGTGCTTGGAGCTTTCAAAGCACATTTTTATGTCTTTATGTGGCTTTTTGCGCGCATTTGAATAAATAAATCACAAGCTTTTTTAAGAAAGCTTTCAAGTAGGTGAATTTCACAATGTGGTTGAATTAAAGCTTACAGTTTCTTTAAAAGCAAAACAATGTGCTTTAGGAGCTTTCCCTTTATACAGAAGCTTTCAAATGCTTTTCAGGCTGAGTTAAGGCTGACGCTGCGTGATCTGCCACCAATTCTTTTTTCTCTGCCTTAGCTAGATCCCCAGCAGGTTTACAGGGTATGCAAAAAAAAAAGGGAAGCATTAAAGCAATTGCATGTAATTAATTAAAAAGCCATTGACATTCATAAAAAGTAAATTGCGGCAACAGCAGCGCCAAACTTGGCCCGAAGGGGCGCAGGAACTCAGGAAGTCGCCGACTCACATAATAATGCACGTGTATTATCCCCGATGCCAGCAACAACAACAATTTACAGACACCTCTCGCTGGGCTGGCTTTTGGTGAAAATCGAGTACAAGCATTTATTAACAGCCTGAACGATCGATGCCAAAACACCTGCCAGCTAGCGATGCATCTTCAGATGATGCTGCCAGCCGCAGCCTCTGCGAGCTAACGAGCGCGAAAATAATGCGCGAAATGTGGAGCAGTAGCTGGCCTGGACATGGGACTTGGGCCAGTGGCCGGGTACAGCTACCATCGACGGTGGCGACTGACAGAATTATAATCAATTAGCGTAGCGGCCGGCGTGAGCGCATAAAATTATATACACGGCCGTGTTGAGGTGCGCTGCGCTGCGGCCTGCTGTGCTGCGGTGATGCGCAATTTGGTTTAAATTAAAATAAATTCAATTACGAAAACATGAAAATCCATTACGCAAATTATTGTCATTAAAAGCGCAATTTTCGTGCTGCATTTATGAAATATTTTTGTTTTTTTCGATTAAGTTTCTGACGCTTTGCGTCTGCCAGCTGCAAATACAAAAGACTTAGGCAACGAACTTGCTATTGCATGTGCAGGCACTCACTTCCTCTCTCACTCTCTGCATCTCTTTCTCTCTCTCACACACTCTCTGGTGCCCCTGCCCATCCGCCTGGCTAATTAATTAATTATAACTCAAGCGATTAGCATAGCTCCCCCCCGTCTTCCCCACAAAAAAAAGATTGACCAAGCCAGTCGAGCAGTTGCCTTCGCTTTCATCGTCTGTCCGTCCAACTGCCTCTGGGATTAGCTCGCTGATTACGTCGCATCACATGCGAGAAAAAAAAAAAGAACCGCTTTCATTCATAGATAGACGCGACGAACTCACAACGACAAACGGGTTATAAATGTTAAACGATTTGATAGATAAGATATTGCTACGAATACACATATATATATATATATATATATATAATTATATATATATATATAATTATATTTATGTGTATATGAGTGTGTGCTTCTGTACCTGTTGTTTGCTGTTGGGAACACGCCGCCGAGTGTCGCACTTAATTTGTTTAATTTCCTTGACGTTCGCTACTCTCAAATCTCAGCCTCAAACACTATGTAACAAGTTTGAAGCTGTTTAAAGC